ACACACACACAAACACACATAATCATAGTTGGTTACATTACTGCCTGAGGCACATTATCTTCCTTTTGCTTCCTGTTGAAGCTCTTGCCTAGCCACTTCTCCTTATTCTGTCTCAATTTCAGTATTTGTTTACTCTTGGCTATTTATAATACAATCTCCTTTACTAATCATATTACATGCAAGATGACACCAAATAATCCTTAATAATTTTTTCTATAGAATTATCTACAAAATCTTAGAATGCATAGAAAGAAACTTTTTGGGAAGTAAAAGATGTATCTTTTCAGTCCTGCGTTCCCAGGACCTAGTATAATGCCTCACGCATAGTATGAATTCTTTTAAAATTAATTTGTAAATCATGAAAACAGTGTTCTGATTATCAGTCTTATAAAGGACTGAAGCTAATATATTCTGATAGTAAGAAACCAATTCTCATTTCCATATCAGACAATATCCTTTTCAAAGGGAGATGGCTCAGAGGAGGCAAGTTTGACTAAAATGTGCTTGACACTGAGAAACGAAAACAAAGTTTTCCTGAAGTATATTTTCATAAATTCATGGCAAAGTCTAATTTATGGAAGGCTTAGACATCTCCCCCCTGTGTGCGTGTGTGTGTGTGTGTGTGTGTGTGTGTGTGTGTGTGTGTGTGTGTGTGTTGGAAAATTCCTTCACTTTCCTAATTTCCTAATATTTCCTGACAATCTAGTTTTGACCTAGAAAATAAGAAGGATCATGATGACTGGATGAATAATTTAATGTAAGGTCTAAAAATCCAGACACATTCATGAAAAATAAAGTTCTACAATTAATTCTCCATCAGGAATATGTAAATGATTTCACTTTTACAAGTTATTGTTAAGAAGGAATCTGTGCTGTTTTAAGTGCATGGAATCCACAAGTAGAAATAAACCCAACAGCATGAGCAAAAGCATCCCTTCTGTAAAGGCAAAGGGAATAAGCCATGGCGACTGCCACAGGGCAGCAGCAAGCAGCTCCAGCCATCCAATCACTGCAAGGCCGTGTCAGTGTGAGGCCCTTGTAGTTTCCAGAGATGGGGGCGATGATACTGAGGTCTTCAATTTGCTGCTAGAGGACATAATTTGCTGCAAGGGAAGACATCAATGGATCCAGGCGTTTGATATATTGAGAAACAAGGAACCAACTGTGGCTAGCACTTTCGTCATTCTGCAGCAGAGGTAAAAATCAGAAACGTGTGATTACACACTGCTGGTGGCATTCTAACTGAAAAGGCATCTCGCTGTGAGAGTTACTAAGTGCCTCTTCCCTGAGAATAAATGTGACCCAAGTGATAAGTCGACCTTTCAGGCATTTGTCTCTCTTTAAGGAGACAGTGTTGGGGGTGGGGTACCAAGTTTGACTACTCAGAAGTAAGACCAGAAGGAATGAAAGCCTTCTTTCTCTGTACTATGTTTGTGCAAATTGGTAGGCAAAGTTAGAATACTGGTGAGACTTAGAACAAGCACGGGCTACGTGCACGCACTCGGGGGAGCCTGTGTTGAGGAAGACTTGTGTGCAGTCTCAATAAAACAAGGTCAAAAGTAGGATGGATTGTGAATGTACTCAATGTTATTTTTAAGTACAGATAAGTTTTCTAGGGCCATGTCTCTATAGGAGGTGGATGGGAAACAAGAACAGGTTTACAATACACTAGTTCTGCCTAGCTACAGGGTTACTCTGTCTGGGCTCAATAGTCCACTGTCAAGCATGGTATAGAAATTATCAAAATGAAGCTTCCAAAAAAGGAGAGAAAAAGAATATGCAACTTTTACTATATTATTATAATCCTTCTATGTGAGTACTAGTTAGTATTTTTAATTATTTGCCAGTCTAATTTATCAATTTAACTAAGTATGAATAAGAAGTAAATAACATAGTAGATATTTGGTACTATCTATGGTTTCTAATAGAGGATTTAGAATTTATTCTCATGGATAAGATGGAGTATATATATATATATTTTTTTTTCATATTGTATCTACCCATGATATTTTAAGAAAGGAAGGAGTATAAGAAGCAGGCTTTGGAGTCAGTTCTAAGACTGAATTCCATTCCAGTTCTGTCCTTTAAAAGTTTTAAAACCCAAATTCTTCACTTGTTTAGTTGGGAGGTCAAGTGCCATTAACACTGTTGAACATTCACATAGTGATTAACATACGGGATATTTTTTTAAATGATGATGTCATCAACAACAACCAAAACCAGAGCCAGCAGCAGCAGCCGTAGAGATAAGACTTTTTTTATTTAAATTAGAAACAAGCTTTTTTTACATGCCAATCCCAGTTCCCTCTCCCTTCCCTCCTCCCCTGCCCCCCACTAACCCTCTATCCCATCCCCTTTCTTCTCTCCAGGGAAGATGAGGCCTTCCATGGGGGATCTTCAAAGTCTAACACATCAATTGGAGCAGGGTCTAGACCCTGCCCCACATGTATAGGCTGAGAGAGTATCCCTCCATGTGGAATGGGCTCCCAAATTCCATTAATATACTAGGGATGAATACTGATCCACTACCAAAGTCCCCATAGGTTGCCAAGGCCTCCTAACTGACACTCAAATTCAGGAGGTCTGGATCAGTCCTATGCTGGTTTCCCAGCTATTAGTCTGGGGTCCATGAGCTCCCCTTTGTTCAGGTCAGCTGTTTCTGTGGGTTTCTCCAGTCTGGTCTTGATCCCTTTGTTCATCTCTGCAACTGGATTCCAGGAGTTAAGTTCAGTGTTTAGCTGTGGGTGTCTGCTGCTTTTATCAGCTACTGAATGAAGGCTCTAGGATGGCATATAAGGTACTCATCAATCTCATTAGATTGTTAGTTGGTGTTATCCTTGTAGATCTCTGAACATTTCCCTACTGCCAGATTTCTCTTTAAACCTTTACTGGCTCTCTCTATTATTGTATCTCTTACCTATTCCCCTCTATTCTTCCCCCCGACCCAACCTTCCTGTTCCCTCATGTCCTCCTCTCTCCTCCTCTTCTCTCCTTCTCTTTCTCTTAGCTCTCTCTCCCCTCCCCCCATGTTCCCAATTTGCTCAGGAGATCTGGTCCCTCTCCCTTTCTCCAGGGGACCGTGCATGTCTCTCTTAGGGTTCTCGTTGTTTCCTAGCTTCTCTGACGGTGTCGATTGTAGACTGGTAATCCTTTGCTCTATGTCTAAAATCCACATATGAGTGAGTACATATCATGCTTGTCTTTTTGTGGTTGGGTTACCTTGCTCAGGAAGGTTTCTTCTAGTGATGTCCATTTGCCTGTGAATTTCAAGATTCTGTTGTTATTTTTTTTCCTCTGAGTAATACTCCATTGTACCACATATTCTCTATCCATTCATCAGTTGAGGGGCATCTAGGTTGCTTCCAGGTTCTGGCTATTGCAAATAATGCTGCTTAAACATAGTAGAACAGATGTCCTTGTTGTCTGAATGGTATATGCCTAAGAGTGGAATTACTGGATCTTGTGGTAGACTGATTCCCATTTTCATGAGGAATCTCCATACTGATCTCCAAAGTGGTTGTACAAGTTGCCACTCCCAGCAGCAGTGGAGGAGTGTTCCCTTTCTCCGCATCCTCTCCAGAACAAACTGTTATTGTTATTTTTTATTTTAGCCATTAGGACAGGAATAAGATGGTATCTCAGAGTTGTTTTGATTTGCATTTTCCTGATGCTAAGGATGTTGAGCACTTTCTTAAGTGTCTATCAGCCATTTTAGACTCCTCTATTGAGAATTCTCTATTTAGTTCTGTAGCCCACTTTTTAATTAGATTATTTGGTGTTTGGGGACTAGCTTCTTGAATTCTTTGTAAATTTTGGAGATCAGTGCTCAGTTGTGGGGTTGGTGAATATCTTTTCCCATTCTGTGGGCTGACATTTTGTCCTGCTGACTGTGTGTGTCCTTTGCCTTATAGAAGCTTCTCATTTTCAGGAGGTCCCATACATTAATTGTCAATCTTAGTGTCTATGCTACTGATCTTTCCAAGACCTTTATCGGTGAAGATCATCTTCCCAGTGAGCTCATTTAGGAAGACTTTTGTGGTGACTCTCTTATGAGATGCCCACACTGTTTTACAGACAACTCTCCTTTGCTTTCCCCCACCTCTTTCCAACACCATTGCTTAACTCTATATTCAACTTTCTCTTAGTATGCCCTATGCTTCAACAGTATTTCTGAAAATGTTGGGCGAAAAGTTGTGTCCCCTTCAGTTCAAACTCAACATTGCTGAAGTTTCTGGGTAAGCAATCCTTCATATACAGTAACTCACTTGTCAACATACTTTTTTCCTGTACTGGATTAAATTGTTTGCTTTATGGTTCCAAACTTAGAAACATAACTTAAAAATTATGAAATAGAAAAAAATTATAGTGCAGGATATAAATGTTTCTAATGCTTCCAAAACTTTCTGACATTTCACTTAATGAGTTTTACCCAGCATGGGGAAAAGTTAATGATTTTCTGTGGTACTTGAAATTATGGTGTTCCAGAAACATTGTAGAGGAGAGCTTCTCAGTAGAGCTTTCTAGTTCTTTTTGAAGAAGGAAAAGAGGAGCACGGGAAACTGTGTATCAATACCACACTTTCAAGATGATTGTCACATTTTCTCCAACTTTGGTAAGGTCTTGGTTTAGTGGTTTTAATGTCTATTGTTAGGGTCTGGGGTAACTCAGTCTTTAAAACAAGCAAGAAGACAAGCACAACTCATGTTTGAGGAAAAGGGTGAGGACTATTTAGACACATGAGTAATTTCTTTTTGACCTGACCCATTTCTAAATTAGAGCAGAAGTAAGAAAAACATTTCATATGGGAATGAATATTATTAGACAGCATATGGACTTAGACTGATTTGGGTAAAAAGAAATATTATAAGTTACATACCTTTACGTCTCTGTTTCTATATCTGTATCTATCCCTGAGTCAAGCAATTCCCTTTCTAGAAGTCTACTTTTGGTCTCCTTTTGTTACAGGAGGAAGGGGTAGCGTAGCAGGGAAACCCAGAATGGGAGAAGAAAGGCTACTATCAAGCTTCAGGTCACCTGAGTCTAAAGATAACCCAGAAGAGGGTATATGATGAGAACTTAAGACAGTTCTCTGGAACCTATGCAAGAGCAAGTCCTAAACAGTTTCACTTCCCCCTAGCAAAGCCTAGCCCTGGCCTTGTGGCCTGAGCACTGGGGCTGCATTTCCGGAAACTTAGGGCCACAGTCCCCAGGGTGGGAAGCAAACTGCAGTGCCACAAACCAGAAGAGCTCAAGTCTGCAGGGGAAGTTGCGAGCAGGGAACCCACGACGGCAGTTCCCAAGCCTCGGGTTCCAGCCACCAGCAATGTTTCCTGTGGCTACTGGCACTAGGGACAGGAACGAGGACCTGCTCACTGCTGGCCCAGTGCCTCCAGGTGGGTGGTCTTGTGTTTGCCAGGGCTGTGGGTGGAGGGATCAAGATGACCCTGAGGCTCTGCTGAAACTAAGGGCCACCAGTACAGTTTTGCCCGGAGCCACCTGAGATCAGGGCATCTTTAAACCAGGCTTCTCTATTTTCTCCACCACTGGACCCTCCCTCAAGTGGCTGCCTGGATGGAGGACTCTGAAACCCAGAGGGTGGGAGTACACTTCCTATTCTAGCAGCTTCCAACACCTGCCCGTGCAACTTCTGCGGAGCTAGGACTTTGATGAGCACTCCAGGCAGTGTCAAGTCCTTCACATAGCCTTGAAGCTAGATCTCATCCAAAATGTGTATATAAAATGAAGCAAAATGACTCATTTGTAACATCTTTGTCCATTCACCTGCCTCATATCAATCTGTATAGAACCACCACCCTAGAGCCGGGAACTCCAAACTGAGAAAAAGGAGTTACTTTGGTTGAATATGCCAGTGAGTGTATACTTTCGAATGAATGTTAAGGTGCTTGCTTTGAGTTCCTTTTGGTTTTATTTTCAGATGCATGTGTGAGTCCTATAATAAGTTCTAAAAGCTGTTAGCTTTGGAGAAGAAATTTTACTAGGATATCATTATTATAGGAAATGTTCCCTATATGCTGCTTGAAATTCTTTTAATGTACCAAGCAGAATTAAATTGCTCGTGGCCTTTTTTAGGTAGTATGATTATTGGTTTCAGTTGCTTTAGGGTATTATGTACTTTTAATAAATGGGAACAGTTGCTTTTCAGTTAAGAGGAGAAATATATTTAGAACAGTGGAAGATGACCTGAGATAAGTTAGAGCCAGTGATGTGGGGGTCACCGTACCATTTTAAATGCTGGACACTGGCATCTTCAGCACTGCAAGAAAATGCACAGAAGTCATCACTCTTTTGGACCCTGAGCAAGTGACCACATTAGTAATTTGTTTAACAACTGGGTTAGATAGAATATGCTAGAAGATGCCTTTTGTTTCACTGACACCCAAATTAACGAATGGAGACAGTGGTTATTCTGAGCAACATGCCGCTATGAGGACACCTTTATGTCCTTCGGAGTACTCTTGCTCCTTCGTGTCTTTTTCCTCGTCTGCTTGTTCCTTCTCAGCCCAGTGTTTAGCACTCGCTTCAGTTACTTCCTTATGGACGTGAAGGTTCCCCAGCACTGAGTGGCGTTTCCACGTTAACCCAGTCCTGCTCCATTTATGCACATAGCCTTCTAAGAAACGCAGTTTCCCTTTCATTTGTCATGTTTGTCTCGACACAGTCTTGCAAATGTACACAATGCATACAAACCAGTCTCACCCTGTGCATCCTACCTGTCTATATCACCTCCTCGCCATAAATCTCACTTTCATGTTCACGTCTATTGGTTTCATTTTGTGACCCATGGACATCCAGGTCCCAAGAAACAATGAGCTTGGAGCTATCCTTGGTGGGTGATAGCTCACTAGTGGGTACCCAGTTCAAGGCAGAGATTTCCCCATCTCCCAGAAGGAGGGCCTCACAGGCCTCTTTACTTAGTATCTTGCTAAATTAAGTGGTGAGGTATCTTTCACAGCACAGAGTCGACTTTAGCTTGATGTGGTACATGGGGGCTCAATTACTTCTTTTGTCTCCTTTCTGAGAAAAGAAACTGCTTCCCATGCTCACACAAACAGTAACTACCAGAAGGTCATCCAGTCATAATTCATGAGCCACCTTGTGTCTCCTCACTGGAGACATGTAGCAATACGTGTGAAGTGGTTAACGTGTTTTGACACCTATGAAGACATGACTTGTAATGACCACATCAGCACATCCTGTGACCATTAAGTAGCCACTTAGTCCTTCAGTGGCAGATGGCAAGGTTTAAAACCAGGACTAAAGCAGAGTACACACAATATACAATGAATGGAAATTCAATGTAGAACATGTCTTTCAACTTATATTTAACTAGATATGGTTTAACAGTGCCAGAAAGGGAACCCCTCCTCTGTTACATTCTAAAGCTAACGCTTTTTAAAAGGTTTTTAAAAAATGTCTACCTTCTTTACGAGCTATTCGTTGAAGCCCAAATTATTTTCTAATACTTTATAAAACATTTTAATTGGCATTATTTGTTGTATGGAAACAGCAAACGTTAAAGATTAGAAACAATGTGTATCTCCACTCGACATGTGCTCAGTGCTTAGTCACAGCTTTTATGAAGTATGGCTGCCTAAGTCTCTCCCTCTAAATCCAGAGGATTTACAGCATTTTCTGCAATTGTAATCTGGATTTTTCCTACTAAGCAAACCACTGGCTCTATTCTGGTACCTGGCAAAGACTGCTTTCTTTAGAGCACTGGGAGGTTCTGGTTAGGTAACTTCTGCTGAGAAGTAAGACAGAAACCTCTTTAGACACTTAAATACAAAATAATTCAGCAATATGCAATGACTAAAGAGGTCATCTCAGCATCAGCCTGTCACTGATGTCACTGGATGAGCAGAAGGACTTTTCTACTGCTCGTCCTTGAATAAGCACTGTCCAACTGTGAGGCCTCCAAATGCAGGCCATCTCAGAACCAGTTTGAGCGTCCTCACTCACCTTCCCTGAAGTCACAAATGATCTCTTTCAGTTGTTATCAAAAGGAAACATCTAGGGAAATAGAAACACATTTGGAAGTTGTTTTGAGACTTAAAAGAGGTGCAGTCTACTTAGGGTGCCATGGGTGTTATTTTAATTCTTAGATAATTGTTCAATAGCATTGTGTTTGTCTGTTTGAAAAATGAGTTCTTGCTGAGAATCATAGTACAGGTTGTTAGTACTATGGTGGGATGAGGTATGAGGTCAGTCTGGGCTACATAAGACATTTTTGGATACATGAGCTACGGGATAAAATCCTGCACAAACAAATGGAGAAAACAAAAAGATAAAATTTACATTGAGAAGCCTTCCCATCTGGTTTTGAAGACACATTAATGATGAAGCAATTTGAGAACTAGAAAAATTAGAAGGCATAGCTTCCTGTATGAGATACTGCCACATCTGTGGGGAAATAATGTGGTTAGAGGAATCCACAATGAGAAAACCAAGAAGAAGATGGATGCAAGGGTATGAAATTGGAGCCATTTTCACAAAATTAAAACAGAAATTTAATAGGTCAAAATGGGTGCACAATCTACTTTCCCTGCTCACAGAGTACCAGTTGTAACTCAATCCAACTAATAATCTAGGTAAAAGTAAGTTTCAAACAATGTGCGATATTTTAATTCCTCAAACATTTAAATTATTTAAAGAGGAATAAACTGGTTTCTCCAAATATTTACTGCTAGTTTAAAAAAATTTCCAATCCAAGCCAGGCATGTTGGCATATGCTTTTAATCCTAACACGGGGCAGACAGAGGCAGGCACATCAATTTGAGTTCAGGGCTAGTCTATTCTACATAGTGTGTCCCAGGCCAGCTGGGAGTACACATGAGAGTCTATCTTTAAAAAATATAATATCTAAAGTAAGGAGCATAGTGTATGTGTCAGGGTGGCAAGAGTGGTTCAGTGGGTAAAGCCACTTGTCACCAAACCTAATGACATGAGTTTGCTATCTAGAACCCACATGGTGGAAAGAGAGAAATGACTCCAGGCACTTATACTCTGATCTTCACACACATGAACTGGAGCACGTGAACATAATGTACATGCACAGAGTTAAAAAAAAAAGAATTGAAAGAAAGGGCTTCCATTATGGACAAACATAAGCTGCTTATGTTAACAGTTTACCTGGTTATTGCCTAAGACTCTGAGTTGCATTTTTTATTTATTGCATCATTTTTAAGTTGTTAAATGTCTTACAATGATTTTAGAAACAAGTATGAAACAAGAATAGGGAGGGAAAATATCTTCTAGGCATCCTTACTGAAACACAATTTGTTATTTGACATCATACATATTTAACTATTTAACTTCTAAATACATAAAATGGCATCTGTGTTTTACTGCAGACATTCAGGTGATCCAGTTGCTCAAAACTGTCAGAGACTCTATGAGGTTGACTGTGTCCCTCAGAGAAAAACAAAAAACACCTTCAACTTTCCCATGAAAGAAACTCCTTTGTAGGTTCCAACATCATGCCCTGAAATCTTCCAGAAACAAAACAAAAAACAAAAACAAATCTCCTGCAGTTATGATTAGAAATTCCTCAGGCCTTCCAGCCTTCCCTGAACTTAGCTTTTATATTTCTTCATTAGAACAAGTAATGTTTATAATGCTGAGCATTATAGCTTCCTTTCTTTTAAGCTCCTCTGCCATGCCTGTTTGCACATTAGCTATTCCCTTGCTCTATTTTTTTTCATGTTTTATGTTCTGCATGTTCTGAGCCAAAAAGTACAAGAATTGTTCCTGACTAGAAATTCCATCTGTCTTCCCACCTTCCTCCTTCTCCCTCTTCCTCCTTCCCCCTCCTCCCTCCTCTTCCTTCCCCCCCTCCTCTTCCTATCCTCCTCTTCTTACATTCCTCTTCCTGTCTCTTCCTCCCCTCCTCCTTTTAACCTCCCATGGTCTTCCCCCTCCTCCTTTCCCTCCTCCTCTTCTCCCTTTCTCCTTCTCATCATCCTCTTCTCATCCATGTCTTCCTCCCTTCTTTCTTCTCTTCTTTCTCCTTTATTGTCTGATACACTCTGATGACAAAGCTTTATTCTCATTGATTTTTACTCCATGTTTATAACTAACTGCTACAGGAATATAGTAGTGTTAAGAAAGCTTGAAATTTTTGGTCTTTTTTCAATATCTATTTAAAAGTCAAATTAAATGGATATCATGTTACCTTGACCAGTATCAGGACACTAGCATTTACTTTGAACAATTCACATTATTTAGTATAATTATATGACTATAGTATACTTTATTGTTCATAGTGGTTTTTGACCTATGAAAATTTTTAAACCACTAAAATGAAACTTTTAGGCTCCAAGCTGCCATGTTTTTAGGGGCAGTGAAGAATAACAGAAAGTATGAATCTAAGACA